CTAAAAATAAATACTATAAAAAAGTAATCTATATTTTCAAATATTATTATATCAAATTTTATTTGAATATTCTAAATGGTTAAAAAATAGATTAGTAGTATATTTATAGTACCAATACAGCCAAATTTGTCTGTGTTGGTTTACAATCTAAGAGATACATTCTAAAAAAAAATCATCTTAAGGTATTATCTATTTTAGATTTTATTTATTTTAGATTTGTCTTACCATTTTATTATAAAATAATACTACTTGTATGTATTTAAATATATGCATATTATTCAAGGATATACAAGTATTATTTTAAAACTATAGTTATTTCTTATTAATATCAATCAATTTGGACTACTTTATATTCATATTGATAGTGATATTAATGAGAGAATATATTAAAGTTGATATATATAAAAGAATTTTAATATAATTTAATATATAATAATTTATTTTATTTTCTAGATTGATATTAACAGAGCTAATATTAATAAAAAACAACTATACTATACTATTTTAGAAAATATAAATACTAGCAAGAGAAAACCTTGAATCAGCAATTATAGTTTATTATTAACAAATAATAATTTATAATTGCTAGTTTAAGATTTTTTTTGCTAGTATTTATATAGTTTTTTTAAATAATGCTAATATATTACATATTTTATAACAGTATATATATATATATAATTAATATTATTTATATTATTTTTTAGTATGAAAAAGTTTTTGATATGAGCCGAATACAAGAAGAAATTTTATATACTAAAAAACTTAAAAAATTATCAAATTTAGATATTGTTTATCAGCATAAGTATCTTGCACTTCTAGTTTCTAATAATCAAGAATCTTTACAAGATAAAGCTCAATTATACAATAATAATGAAATACAAAGTAAAAGCGATTATAGTATTTTGTTATCTGAAAATAATGATGATAGTGAAACATATGAAGAAGATGAAGAAATAATAAGCAATTCTGAGATTATTGAATCAGAACAACTTGAAAAAATGTAGTTCATAATTGGTTTGATATATTGTTAGAGAAAAGTAATAAAGAAAGTTAATTAACAGATTCAAAATCTGAATAAAAGATTATAGTTTATCTTGTTAATAATTCCAAAGGCAAGTGGAAGCTTAAAACTTTGTTTATTAATATATTAGATGTACCAACATTTATTAGAGATTTAAAGATATAAAGTAGGTATTTAACTTATAATTAAGTTTTGTTATTATTTATAATACTATCATTATTATATTTTATTTAAATAATAGCTTAATAATTATGTTTGATTTGAAAGTTAGACTTGTAGTTTAAAAAATTTGTGAGACAAATTTGGTACAGAATATAAACTACTCTAGTACTATTAACCTAAAAAATTTCACTATCTGGCCAAATTAAAATTAAATATCAGGAATAATATAAAATTAAAATAAAATATATTTAAACATTAACTTTAATACTAGTAGTAAAATTTTTTTAGATTAGAAATATTAGAGTTTTACAAAATATATAATATATACATACTGCTATATTAATTCTTTTATATAGAAGATCTAATCTATTTTTTATCTTTTTATATTCAAATTTTACTATATAGTAGTCAATTTCAATATTATGTAAGTATAATTTACTTTAAATTTATATAAACAAATGCTTATTTATATAGTATATTAATCTTTATCACTTAAGATGTTATAATTTCTATAATAATAGAAACCCAACCTATTGAACTTTACCTTTCAATTAAGTTTTCTTAAATTGTATCTTCCCAAATAATAAAAAATTTCACAAAACAAATGCATAATTTTGAGGGCCTTATATAGAATTATAAAATTATACTTTATTTTTATAAATTTTGTTTTTAAACCATATATAAAGTATACAATATTTACAGATTAGCAATTTTTAATTAATATATATATTTATTTATTATCTAAATTTTATTGATATATGAATTTATACATGCTACATTAAAAAAATATTAAATTTTTAATTTTTTTATAATAAATTTATTTTAAACTATTAGTACAATTATATGAATAAAGATCTTTAATTTTAGTGATTATTTAAATTGAATAATAAGATTAAATAAAATTTGAGATAATTATTTATATAATATTTAATTATAGTGTAATTAGAAATTATAAACCCAATTATAAATTTTTTATAAATTGGTAATAAAATTTATAAAAATAAAGATTTTATTATAGGTTTATATAATTTAGCGCATATGCGTTGTAATGTATCCACCTGATCGACCAATTAGATCGTAAAATCAGGTATAACGTGAAATCGAAAAAAATAGCAATGTTTTGAAAAAATCGCTTGTAACTCATAATTTTGCTTTTGCATTCTAACAAAAAAAATTCCTTGCAAAATTTTGGGTATAACTAACATTTACTTACAATCTAACCTAATCCTATATTCGGGCTAACTCTTACCCTAAATTAATGCATTGTTGGTTTGTTTTGATTTCAAGTTATACCGGATCTTATGGAGTGCGTCACAACGCACTCGCACCAAATGATAAAAATCTTTATTATATATACTAATTATTATTAATTTTTATAATTTTTATATTAGGTCATTAGGTCATTTCAAATTTAAAATGACCAAA